ACCCAATTAATTATTTTTTAATAGTTAATTGACCTTTAATATTATTGATCCATTATATAATATATGATTAATTGATGTAAGTTGACATTCATAAGTGATTTATATCTCAATATTTTTTTGAATATGTGTTTATAATTATTCAAAATTGATAATATTATGGTAAGTTTTAAAAAACTATTCTCCATCGCATAAAAAAGTAAAAAAGTTAATTATGATAAAAGATTTTTTAAGTATGAAAATTTAATATGATCATTATTTTAGTTAAATGGGTTTAATGAATTGAATTAGTCTATTATTAAAAACAAAATTTAATGATATGTCATGCCAACTAGGAGAGAGTGAGGCTTTTGGAGTGTCAAGTATATTTGGAGGAAAATAGTGGTAGTTGAGTGATATTTTGGTCCTAAATGAAACATAAATGATATTTCAAGATAATTCCCTAAACTTGAATGATCATTTAGGGAATTGACTCCATTAAAATAGTGTCGGCACTTTTAGTGTAAATCAACTCCAACATATTATACTAAATTTTACGCTAAAAAAAAAAGGCGTGTTGGATTAGAGCCCCAAAACATCACCAAATTTTATACCAAAATAAGTGTTATTTTGATGTAGAATTTGATGTTGATTGGATATGGGCTTAGAGGTCTTATTTTTCTACTCTATTTTGAAAGTCAGTGAGTATTCATAGTTATTACCTTGCCATCGAGAAGAGTTCGACCCAAATCCCAATGCAAATATGAAAATTGGAAGGAGTAAGGGTAGTTTGACATTTCACTAAAATCATGCCAACATATGTTGTACATGTGTAGTACCAAGACTATCCCTTGTACAGTAATTTTAGAAGGTCCTTATGCCCCTACATTTGGGCCTTTCTTACTTTGACTCATCGGCTAGCACTTTTAACGTGGGTTGATAGAGAAAATGATCAAAATGGTCCTTGATGTATTGAGGTTGTTTTATTTTGGTCCTCAATATATTCGAAGTGATTGAAATAGTCCTTCATGTATGATAAAATGTGTTCAATTTAGTCTTTTTGGTGTTGCTTTATTTTGGTCCTCAATATATTCTAGGTGATTGAAATAGTCCTTCATGTATGACAAAATGTGTTCAATTTAGTCTTTTACCCTAAACTTAACATTTTATCCCCAAAAACTGTTAAATATAGCGGTGGGCCCCACCGTTATATTTAATAGTTTTGGGGGTAAAATGTTAAGTTTAGGGTAAAAGACTAAATTGAACACATTTTGTCATACATGAAGGACTATTTCAATCACCTAGAATATATTGAGGACCAAAATAAAGCAACACCACACCAATACATCAAGGACCATTTTGATCATTTTCTCTAGGTTGATAGCACTTTTTTGAGCTTTTTAGCCCCTGTTTTGCTCTATTAGTACTTATTTAGTATAAGAGCAAAATGGTAATGCAATTTTATATTTCAAAACTTCCTGTTTTTAATAATAATAATAAGATGATCTAGTAAACTTTAGGGACAATCTGTACCTCCAAAAAAGAAGAAAGTATCAAAAGTAGTGGATTGTATGATCTTTCCTTTTTCTCTTGGGACAATGGATCTCTGAAATTTTAAAAAGCACTGCGCCAATAATGAAACATAAGATATGTCTTATAGTATATGATTTAAAATGAAAAATACTCATGCTTTAAAAGGAGCTGCTCCAAATAATTATTTGCTTAATACGATTCCTTTTTAACAATCCAATGAAAAAGGTGAACACGAGACTGTTTTGTATGTTGTACTCGATGAAATAATATAGGTGCATGCAAGCAATTCGTACATATCGTCATACAAAATATCCAGATGAAATGTACTTCCTAATCATGACACAATAGCATGCTGTTTCAGAAACCTGTACCTACGCAGATAGCCTTCGTTGCCTGATCCAAAATTATAAGAGTTTCTAGTCAGAACAGTAGTGGTTCTTGTTCTACTACAATCAAATTTATAAGAGTTTCTGCTTTGTGTTTGCACTTTGCAGGAACCTCAGTTGGCATTGTAGGAGTCCATAAAGAAAAACTCACAAGAACCAGAGGTTCTGCTAATTCTACTTGCTTCTTTTGCTCTTCAATAGCCTCATGTCACAGACTTAGACTTCCACTAATACTTTGTGCGGCACTTGACAACTTACTCACGAATGTGTCCCTCTTATAAAATTATCTACAAGTCTAGAGAATTCTAAAGCCTTCCAAGAAGTATTCTAGGGAATTCTAGAGTCTTCGCAAACCTCTCCACAACTCTAGTTTCTTCCCCCTTATTTTTATGCCTTTAAGTGAATGACAAAGTGGCGGGTCATGACACTCAGCTATATCGCAACACACCTTATCACATTCTTCAGGATTCCATGATCCCTTTTCGATGTTGTTGTAAAGAAGAGGAAATTCGGAGTTCCTTTCACTCATCATGGTTTATTTATTAAAAACGGGAAGAACAAATAACAATATAAACAAAAAAGAGAACCAAACACAATGTGATGATCTTGCAATTGCGGTCACAACTAAGTATATTAAAATTGGGAAATATATTTTATGAGTGTTAGTATCAGGGCTCAAGATTGAGTTATATCACAATCTAGTTGATTCTGATGAAACGTTTTGGTGATTTGGTCCAGAGAGTGACTTTAAATATAAAGCAATAAATAAATGATGAATGTGATTCGTACTAATATTGTACTATGCTTCAATATTCTCTGTGACTTAGTCTTCTGGGAGCTGGCAATTCACAAGGAACATGCTTTGAAACAATAGCCTGTAACACACATTAATGTTATTTCCTCAAATTCTATTTCAAGTGAGAACGCGATCAAGACCAGACTACTCTGCCTGCACCTAAATAACCAATTCAAAATTGCATTTGACTCCAGCGTTTGATTTATGCTAATGATTTGTTGTTCTTCAACTAAAAAACATGTTAGTTTCAGAGTGTTCCTATAGTTTTTCAGTACGAATGCCTTGTATATATACCTTTGGTGAATCTTGCAAACAAATGCATTCATAGTACAGAGTAATACAAATGACAAAACTTGTTTCTATTTTTGCTTACAAGCGGAAGATTTGACAAAAATGAGATTAGAAACAACCTAATCATGACATGAATAGCTTTTCAGGTTTCAAGAAACTTGTACTCTACACATAGCCTTCATTGCCTGATCATCATAGTATAAACACAAGACGGTTTCTTGTTAGATTCAGATAGAAATATTTGGTAATTTAAAGTTAAAAATTTGAAATTACCTGAAGCTCCCAATTTATCCTTAGGGTAATAAGTATATAAAGTAATGCTTGAAGACCACTTCCACTAATAATTCCTGTCCAAAGACCCTGCGGAACAATAGTATGAGCCTCAAAAATATTCTCAGACCATCTAAATATCTAGTGGAAGAAGGATAACATTTTAATTTCTATAACTGGTGTGGGTAAATACTAATCCGCACCAGGTGTTTACACCAATTCAATGCAGTGTACCATAGTTGCGTGATTTAATGAAGTATAATTATACATTCATTATCCATAGCTAAGTAATAGTTGTGTATGTTCTCATACATGTTACACATTCATTGGTTTGGTGTAAATACCGTACACGAGTAAGTTTATATAGTGGACGTGTTATTTTCAAGTGAAAAACTTGTTACCTTTGCTCCAAAGTGGAAGACAAAAGTTAAAATCACAGCACAAGGAAGTCCAACAACATAGTAGGCTACTAAATTGACTTGTGCACCGAGTTTCTGCCAACCACATCCTCTTGCAGTACCTTTAATAATGTTATCAATAGAGTTAATTTTGTATTCAAGCAACTATGTATATTGCTGAACTGATGGAACACTTTATGATCAAAACATATGGCTTCAAATTAAATTTTATTAGATAGTTTGGAGTTCATACCTGAAAGAACCCCTTGGATTCCATCCATGAAATTGGACAATGCAAGTACTGGCATGACTGCAGCCAGATATTTCACCACTTCCTCTTCGTTAGTGTATATATATCCCCACACATTTCTTGCTGCAATTGAGATTCCACTCAGTAGAAAGCCCTCTACCAGAGCAATAAGCAGAACGACCCGTGCTGCTAACTTGGCTGCTTTAGGTCTCCCTGCTCCCAGCTCATTAGATATCCTCGTACTTGGATCCAAGAGAAAGAACAGACAAAATGCCTAACTTGTTAAATAGTGATTGCACAATCTTCTCCTTTTCGTGTATAATATACCTAGAAAAAGAAAGTGAAGCTTTTCTGGCAACTTACCTTACTGCACTACTAAATCCTGAGGGAATCCTGAAGGCCAGAGAACTGGTACTCATGCTGGGAAATGAAAGAAGAAAAGAGTTAATATTGGTGATGTAATGAATCAAATTAAGCTTAATATGACAATACCAATGCGAATTCTTGGTTCATATTTTCGTTTTTGGAATTGAGCTCTACTAACCTGATGGCCATCATAGATGTCTCGAGCTTCGGATTAGGAAGCAGCCCTGACATAAGAACCAGAAACTCATAGGACCATTGCTCCAAGCTTTTGGTCCCGGTCCAAAAAGGTCATGTCAGATCACATGATACGTCGGAGAAATTTGTACTAATGGGACATTTACAAAAGAAAACAATTGGAAAGATAGTCAAGGATACAGAAACTAACCAGATCATACAAGCTGAAGGAATAGCTAATGATAGAAAACTGGGAAGGTTTCTTGCACCCTCTTTGGAGAACCCCGTCCATGTTTTCTCACATGACGATGTATACCTTATATAAAGCGCCAAAATCAGCGCATTGATCCAATAAGATATGGCATTACAGAGTGCAGCCCCTTTGTTTCCCAATCCCAACCTTGAAACCAATGCCCAACACAAGAAGACATGAAGTAAACTTGTGAAGCCAGTACTGATCAGCAGTGGTTTAAGTCTACTTTGTGTTTGCAGGAACCTTAATTGGCATTGGAGGAGCCCATAAGGCAAAATGCTGGGAATCAACCAACGAGCATACACTCCAGCATGAATTGAAAGTTCAACGTCTTGTCCACAGAAAGCAAATATATGCCCTGCAAATGCCCAAACAATGGATATGGGGATGGAAATTGCCACCACTACAAGCATACCCCTTTGCATATGTATCCCAAGCATATGATACTGTTTTGCCCCATATGCTTGTCCGCATAATGTTTCCAATGCACTTGCCATTCCAAGCTATATATTCAAAATAAATTCAAACAATCAATATGTTGTAACATATTACATACCAAAAACAGATGACTATAAAGGGATCCAATGCATGATCTGACTAAATCATATATATACCATGAAGCGGAAACCAGTTACTCCAGCAAACGAAGTAGCTAAAGTTGCACTGGAAAGAGAAAGCTCTCCGAGATGACCAACAAACATGACAGATATCAACAGCAAAAAGTACTGCATAAAACCCACAACAACCAGAGGTCCTGCTAATTCCAATTGTTTCTTTAGCTCTTCAATGGTCTCATACATATCATACCATCCCTTGATGCCATTTTCAGGATCCGTTTCATTAATGTTGGAAAGAAGAGGAAAATCAAGAAGGAGTTCCAAGTTTTTTTCGTTGATCATGGTTTTACTTTATCACCACAAATTATGGCAAGAACAAATAACAAATCCGAGTAAAATTAAGAAGATTAATATAAGTATCTGGTTTCAAGATTGAGTTATATCTGTTCCCATTATAGGATGTAATTGTCTTGACAAAAGGATTTGGTCCAAGGCAATATCCTATTAAAAAAACGATGAATGTGATTCGTGCTAGTATTTTATTATGCTTGAATATTTTTTTTCTCCATGACCATGTGACATATATCCTTCTGGGAGACATGCGTAAATGAGTTATATATATATACCCTATAATATTCCACCGCATTTTTAGGCCATTTCATTAGTTGACTCTAGTTTTAAAAGTGAGGGTGTTGGCTCATGGGCATTAATTAATTATCGTATCATGATTCATGTGCTTAAGTTCTAAGGCACACTTGCAATCTCATTAATATGCTTACATAATTGGTAGGGACGAACGTTGTAACTTAGTGGTGTGCAAACTGATACTGTAGTGCATTGGGGAATCTCAGTTTTGGTTAACTATTTGGACTTTTACATGTTGGCAAGTGTTGGATTCTCCGCATTTTTTAAAAAAGAAAAAAAAATTACTATTAAATTATACAGAATTGAGAAAATTAATTTGAATATCAATGAATAATTACAATTTACAATACATCTATAATATCACCAAATAGTAAAATTTTATCGTCAACATTCCACCTATTTGAACATCAATTAGTCCCATTAGTAGTAATGTCTCCTCAAGCTTTACTATTAGCAAGATTTGATCTATAAGAATATACAATTTTTTCGAGGCGTAACGACTACTCATACATTTGAGAGAGGTATAGTTTGATTCCTAAATCCTGTTACTTTTGCCAGAAAAGAGAATTGATATAAAACTTCCATCAAATAGACACCTTGCATAACAGGAACTCGCGAGAGATTATATTTGCTCCCTCTGCTATTGGGCCTTGATCCCTTGTCAAGTCTGATTAAAATATTCAACACAGACATTTTTAGAAGCTAGAGAGCAAAAAACACTAGTTTGTATTATTGTAACATATAAATGTTCAGACTGCAAAACACCAACATCCTTCAATTCTCTTCACACATCAAACTGAAAAATTAAAAAGGAAAGGAAAGGCGTAGCTGGTCCATATCAACCATATTCTTTCAACGGAAACAGACAGAAGTGAAAAGGCTTAAAAGGAAAGAAATCATTAGCCTCATAAGTCATAACTGTTGGTTGAGATAATGGTCTGGATCTGACTTCCCTCCACCACCCAAATACCCTGCAACAGTTCCAAGAACATTTGAAACAGTACCACTCAACCAGGAGGTACTTCGAGTTAATAAGCCTGTCGGTGTCTGCCCCACCTCTTCAAGCATAATTTCTGGCTCTTCTGCCAACAGTATGTCAAGCCGACGCTTAATCATATAAGCCTTTACAGCTTCAACCCCTTCAACTACAACTTCTTTTGGAGGTATCACAAGAGGGTTTTCATCCAACTTAAGCACAGTGAGGTTGTCAAGCCGACTAATTGTATCAGGCAGTTCATGAATCTGATTGTTACTCAGATCAAGTTCCTTAAGATTTATCAAGTCACCAATTGTGTCAGGAAGCTTAGTGAGATCACTGAAATTGTTGCTTAGGTTGAGGATCTCAAGATTTGTCAAGTTCCCAAATGAATGTGGAAGCCCATGTAGTTCATTAAAGTGCATATCTAAAAGGCGTAGGGACTTCATCTCACCAATGGAAGTGGGTAAGGAACGGAGCTTGTTAAAAGAAAGTGAAAGCCTTTTTACATTTACCAGTTCATAGCCAATATTTGTTGGCAAATAAGAAAGCTTGTTGAAGCCTGCATCAAATTCCACTAACGACCTGCAAACACAACCATAACAAAGAGTATCTGAGAGAACTAACAAGAGTACAAAATAGTGTATTCAGGCTGGGAAAACGGGTAAATAGCTTATTTCTGAACCACTATTACCTGCAATGACAAATGCTATCTGGCAAAGTGACAAGCTTGTTTCCAGAGACATCTAAGATCTTCAAACTAAACAACAGACCAATGGAGTCTGGCAGTGATTCCAAAAGATTTGAAGAAAGGTGCAGCTCCTCAAGGTTTTCCAAGCTCGCAATTGAATCAGGAACCACCTGTTTTCCCCAAAAAATTAAGAAGCAGAAAATTACAAACATTTGAAATGCCAAACAGCTTGATTTTGTTCTCATTCAACTATCACGAAGAACAATGTTGGACTTTTGATAAATATATGTTACAGTGGAAACTATTATGCAATTGTCAGATGGAAGAATTCTTGAAGTGGATTCAATGAGGGATATGATGCAATTAATAGGCAGTGGCAGAGAAGTATCAGGACACAAATTGGTAGTTACCTGTCCAGTGGATACAGATGTTGTTAAACTATATATAGATTTTAGCAATGGGACTAGCTTCAATGATCAAGTGACAACTGCTTCTCTAAATAGAATGGATTGTCGGCGACACATCACAATGGACATCATTCAGATTTGGGTTTTAAGGTAGTTAGCATATTGCTTCAAGTGTACAAGAGAAAGTATTTATGAGGATCCATATAGCTGACCCCTACTAATTATAGATGTAGTAGTAGTTGAGTGATTAAACACCTATATTATGATGAAAAGCAAATTTTTTAGAGCTTTACACTTGCTATGAAATTCTGTAGCTCAGGTAATAGTATTGGAATTTTCTGCCAATTCAAATAGTAAATATGACAAAATCACATTCACTGCTAACTCTATCAAAATTAGCTATCCCTTTTCGCTTCCCAATAATGAATAGTCAAACAGATTGATCTTAGACTAACATTTCTGAATGTATCTTTTAATCACATTCTTACAATGAAAACTGCAGCCTCTAGTACTTTTCGTGTAGTAATAACTAACTTACATTTTTCCTAAGTTGCTCGGACTCGGGTGCGGGTGTCCGATACGAGTGCAGATCTAGAGGTTGGATCCTTCATGATCTAATTTTTAAGAGCCGGGGATATGGATCCAAGTATGGATACGGATGCGGGGATTCGCCTAAAAATAATTAAAATATCTAAAAATAGAGTTATAAAACCTAAATTATGAGATATTATGTGAGAACTTGAGGAAAAACTTGGAAGGAGATTAAAGGAAAAGGAGTGACATAGAAATTTCTATATAAAAGGTATTCCATTTCTTCAATTTCACCTTAGCTTTTGTATTGATTATAGAAATCATTAAAATTGTCCCAAGACTTTCCCCATCAATTTTGGTCAAAGTACCCAAAATCCGTTGACCGAATTGGACACGGATCCCACACCCACATCCATGTCGTGTCGACACGGGTGCGGCACCAAAAGTGAAGAGTCCGAGCTACTTAGCATTTTTCCATATATGAACTAATCAATATCAGATTTAACTTTGGAAGTGGTCAATCAATCAGCAGAAAGCAAAAACAGACAGATAAACTGGAATGTAGGAAGTACAATACTATATTTTGGGAGACTTTGGATCCTGGAAGACAGCTATCAGGAGGCGAAAGTGCAGAACAATGTTATAATTCAAGAAACAAAGTGGAACCAGGAATGAGAAAATAATGCGACAAGTAAATGTTCTTCTCCTAGAAGAGATAAAGGACAAGAAGAGGAACCGGTGCTCAATTAACATTTAGCATAATCAGATATTAGAGTAGGTTCAGAAGGTTCTTGCACCTTACCAGTCAAAAGAAACCTAGTAGCCCCTTTAATCATATGCATTGGGGTTCCGTCCTATGATCAAATCGTAGTGAAGGTACCAAATTGCAACTTCAAGCATGGTGAGGTTCAAAGTAACCAGCTCAGTGCAGCACTTGATTCTTTTGGATATGGATATTGATTTCTTAACTTTGAAAGTATCTAAAAAGCATTTGAAAATATCCCCGTCTAAGAAAAAAGTATTGACTCCCCAGTAGTGATAGTGTCATTCTTTTTAAGATTGAGTCTTGTTTCATAAAAGAAAAAGCATCTCAAAAAGCCAAAAGATGATCAGTTTACAATAGTAAGAAGCAGTAAGCAATGTAACAGAGTTTTGATAACAGCTTCTGATTGTGAAAAAATAAAATAAGATAACTTAGATGAGTGCTCCGAGTAAAGCATGGGAATGGTGCAAAACTCCATCTTCAGACCCTCTAAACGCAACTTGTCCCAGCACGTGACAGTAAATTTGTGGTACCTCAAATTATGCTGGCCGCAACCAGAAAAAAGTTATCAAACTTTTACCACGCAACAAGCCATTGAGATGAAATATACACTTTTGATTAAACCCAAAGGACCTGTAGTTTGGCAGTTCAATCATAGGTTGAAACTAACCCCTCAACCCAAGGGAGGGAAAAAAGAAAAGAAACACCACACTTTTATATAGCTCTACAATATGATCTCCATCAAACTTCTGCTACTTCCACGCGTGAAATGAAATATCAAACTACGCATTTGACATGGATGTGCAAACAGTATAGGGGTAAAAGTATCATTAGTAGTTCAATTTACAGTATATCAAGTAGCACGAAATGCAACAAGACATCATGCAGTTGAAAATTAATACATACCACAAGTTCAAATCCAAGTAAAACGAGTCGAAGACAAGAAACATGAAAGATTATCTGAACTAGGGCATACCGTAAGCTGGTTGTTGGACAAATTAAGCACAATTAAGGAGTGAATCTTCCCAAAAGCTTCAGGCAGCATCCTCAGCTGCCTGCCGGACAAATCAACCCTTTCCACACTCTTCCCTAATGCCTCCTGCAAAATCCCGATCACTTCCTCATTCACTTCCTCATTCAACTCAGAACTCTTCTCACCAGAAGACTCTCCAATTGATTCCACATCACCACCAGAAACAGCAGTCTCATAAATCTTCTCCAACCTCTGTTCCGCATCCTTCAACATCTTCTCATACGCCTCGTGCAACTCATCCAAAGCTATCAACGCCTTATACTCCTCTTTCTCCTTCTCCATAGCCTTTCTACACTCGTCCTC